AACCCAGATTAATTTCATGCTGGAGTTATAGAAGCCGTCTAAAAGGAAGCTGCATGTTGCACCGATCGCCCCTGTCTAGATCGATGTTGCCCCTGCACAAATATGGCGAGAATTGATATTCGATTACTGATCGCCGTCTGGGCCTTAATGTCAGTGGTTGTAGTCACGGCCCGGATTGGCCTTTAGCCGGTTGCCAATGGCCAAGATCTGTCGCTGTTCGGCTGTCGGGCTGTTCGGCTGTCCTGGCTGTCGTCGCCGGACGACCTGTAGCTGCTCCCGTTGTAAATGTTGTCGCCATCGTCACAGACGACATCACACATTTTTGCTGGCTACGTTTCGGTTTTGATCACTGCCCCCTGTTGCAGCGGGGAATTTGGTGCACAGTCCTCGTTGTCGTCTGCACGGCCCAAATGGCCCTGGCATCCCTCATCCCGGCTGCCCTTGGTCCATTCTACTATTCTACTCCCCCGCCCAGTGCCTGATTTACGAGCAGAACTTGCAACTGCCGCAGCGATGCCAATAGCGATGCCTTGGCCATGATCGTTGGCCAGGTCAGTTCCATTATTTTCCGGCCAATTCGCCATTGTTACAAATGCTAATTTTGATATTTTGTATTTAAATGCACAGGAGGCAGGCGCTGATCCCCAAGTCAGCGGCAACAATAACTGCAACTGCAACTGCAACTGCAGCATCAGCAGCTGCTTGTGCCACAAGCATAGAACTTTATGGGGCACTGCAGCGTTTATCCTTTAAAATCTAAACTAAGGAGTGATGGGTATAGCCAGGTTAGGCGAGACCTTGGAGGCGGCTTGGGAAATTTCACAGTAAAATATGTTTAAAGATTTAGTATCTTTGATATTGTTAACTATGCAGAAGTTTAACTACTACTGCTAACTCTGATTTTTTGAGCTGAATTCCCGATTATGTTGACTTCTCTTCTAGTTTTAGGAATCCTGTTTTTATGCTTAAGAATTTAAAATAATATAAACTATAATTTTATAAACTGCAAACATTATAGGGTACGTACTGGTCCTCAACACCAACCCAGCAACACTTTGCCAAACATTTCTGTATTTTCTAGTTCATGCAGCAAATGTGGCATTGAATTTCATATTGCTCTCGCCCCGGCGATAGCCCCAGCGCTCTTTGCTCCGCAGTGCCAGCCGAATGTTTGGTTGCTGGCCGCCGCGATCTCCGCCAAATCGCATTCACAATCGTAAGCATCCTCATCCCCATCCCCAGCCACAGACCGCTCCTGCGCTCGATGGCTGTGTAATGGATGTTATGTTCTTGGCGGCGATCGCATGACAGGCGCATGTTGCAGCCGCTGGCATCCGCACCATTATGGCCAAGAGTCGCGAGCTGCAAGTTGCAAGTTGCAAGTTGCTGGCGAGTTGCAACCCACCGTGGCCCAATGCAATGCACATTCCCCAAAAAGCGTGTAATCAATAAACAACAAGAGCCATCGCCATCGGAGCTTGCCTCTCTCTCTCTCTCTCTTTCTCTCTCTCTCGCAGTATCTGGCGGTCTCCCTTCCTCGGGATCTCTGGATCCGATGGAATGGTTTGCTATGGGCTGGCCTGGACCTGTGGCATCTCCCATCTGGCCGTGTAACCTATGGGAATGCCGTGGCGATTGCGCTCGATTGTATCTGCCTCGCGCTCCTCCTCGCTTTTGGCTTTACTTTAGTTTTTGTCCCGGGATAATGATCCATTGTTTGCATCTTGAACTTGTTTTAAATGCGACTCCGAGCGAGGCTCCACTCCACTCCATCTTGTTTGCCGGCTGCCTCATCATCGTCAACGCGTCGGCCATATCTGGAGCCTCAAGTGGCTGGAATGTCTGCAGAATGGCATTTACATCAAGTCGAGTTATTTCTAAGCTTATTATGATAGTTATTTTCGGCGATGAGAATGTCCGAAAAGGCTTTCTTAATCAATGGAGATTAGTAAGTGACTAAAACTTTTCCTGAGCTGAAGTTATGGTAGGAAAGTCAGATGGTAAAGTTTGATTGGGTTTGTGATTGGCATTGATCGAAACTCATGGATTGTGATAGCTCAAAGCTATCGTATACCAGAGGGTAAGAATTCCTAATTAAAGTAGCTTAACCTTTGATCACCTTATCACATTGATCACCAAACAGACCTTTATATCATCATTCAAAGATTCAATCAAAAACATCCCTGAACAGAGCTCAAGGTCTATCAAAGTACGTCCAAAACAAATCAAATAGCAACCAGATTTGCATACAAATTTCAAATCGCTTGTCCTTAGGACGAGATGTCCACCTTCTCTGAACTGATCTTTCAGGGAATACCGAAATGTGTTAAGATATGCAGGGAGATGTCATCACGACCAGGACTGGAACGACTTTGCATTTGGGGGCCAATAATTTCAGGAATTGACACAAACTAAATAAATCACTCACAAGGACAACACCCCCGGCTGCCCCAGCGAAAGGAATCCACCCGGGATTGGTATTGGGACTGGGATTTGGATGCGGATTTGGGGATCGTGCAATACTTGTTGGCTGTCAGGATGGGCAACGTTTTCGGTAAGTTAAGCGAACGATGCAGGGGCTATATGGAGTCCAGCCTAAATGACCCATTGTGTTGGCTGACTGGGCTGGCTGGCTGACTTGGCTGGCTCCTAAACAATTGTTCTGCCTGACTGACATCGGGCTGGGATGCTGTCGCTGTTCTGGTTTCGGTTTTGGGAAGAAACAATCGATCGTTGGATCTGAAGGCGATCCTGTCGCTGCGACAAATATCACGCATGAATATTTAAAAGTTTCCCTTTTCCGCATAAAACACAAAGGTCCCTTTAAATTTATGGCCATCAGTCGGCCGCCTGTCCGTTGTCCCTCGATTTTGCGGAATATCTGGCTGGCCAGCAGCGAACAAGCCAAAACAATTCCTAGCAAATCAGTTATGAAGGGTCTTCAGGGGAGCGTGTACTCGAGGGCACCTCCAGCCTTTCCAGCTTGAGAGTTTAGCACGTTCGCCGTGATTTATTGCAGATAGTAATCCTGGTGCGTTGATAACGCCGAGAGTCGCCCTGCGATCGCAATCTATATAGTAAATCTCTGTGCCTTATCGCCGGCGAAGTCATTAAACGATTATCTTGCAATCGTTCAAAATTGTTTTATTATTATTAAAGCCCAACTGGCCGATGAGTAGGTGGCTTTTGGCGATAGGGATAAGCCGGCTGTGTGTCATGCCAAAACTCCTCCTTCTGATAGCGACTGCAGTGATGATGATGATGATAATGACTGAACTGGCGGATTTACGGCACAGACATGAGTCGAGGATCGTAAATCAGTCATCGGCTATCACCTCCCCTGATTGATTTACACTTTGTTTTTGATCGCTATTGATCATATTTCGTTCGTTATTTTTCTTCTTCCAGATTAGATTAATATTATTTATAGAACTTTTATAAGGAACGCCGATAAGGGGCTGAGCTTTCTGTTGGATCAGGTTAGTGTCGTTTCGCCGGCAAAGATATATGGGTTCGAATGAGTTATTAGTAAATTTGGCTCAGGATTAGTTTGAAATTAGCTTAAAGGAAAAGCAAAAGGATTACCTAAATGCCAAGAAATGCCTTAAATATAAAATACTCTTAAAAATTTGTTAAATAAATAAGAAAAAACGTAATCACTTAGGAAATCATTGCTAAATCGATATACTTTTTACATCGTATCTTTGATTTTCTTTCTCAAATTTTTTGAATGTAATTCATTAATAAAATTTATTCATTTTATTGCCAAACTCAAAAACCAAATTGATCTGCACTCAAACCTTAATTAAACTCCATTCACGCTTCCCATCAAAACCCCATTTCAATCTAAGGTTTTCCTTTTCCCAACGATCATTTTGACTTTTGTTCGAGTTGTGGCAACTTAATCTGCCACTCCCAGAGCCAGAAGCTCCTCCACCCCGTTCCCAGTCCCAATTCCAATTCCAATCCCAATCCCAATCCGTATTCCTATTCCGAGGCACATGGCTAGATTCGCCGCGATCCATAATTTAAATTTCCTTGCGCATGCGCTGTCAATTGAGCGCAGTCAGGAGCGGCAGCAGCAACATCACAACAGCAACAAGTCTGTTTAATGGCAGCCACCAGTTTGTGGAGCGCAGATGGGGGATCGGCTTGGAGGGGGAAATTTAAATACAACAAATACGACGACGGAGTGCAGAGGAGCCCGGTGCGATGGCGCTAAATCAAACGATGAACACGAAATTGCCATAATGACGACACCAGCGGCCCAGCGATCTGCAAGCCGCGATCCTTTGGGCCAACTCAAATTATATTGGTAAATTGTTAGCTTGGCGCATGCGCGAAGCCGCTGAGCACTTGCTGAGACCTCTCCAGCTACTTGCGAAATTACCATCTTAGCCTCCAAAATGATTGCTCATGTTGCCGTGATTCGCGCGGCACAGAAGCCGAAAACGTTCATCAAAAGTGCAAATTTGTGGAAGCTACTTGGCCGGGTTTCTGGCCCCTTTACTGCCAAGGAGTTATGGCCAAGCCGAAATTCCACACAATGTCTCCACCTATGCGGCCCCTGATGGGCGAACAAAAGTCGCTTGGGTCACGACTTCGCTGGGAAGTCTACGCGGAGCCGGAGAAGGGCTTGGGCTTCTTGCGAAGACGACATTCTACGCCAATGAGTCATTCTGTTAGAAGAAGCTGCGGTCCCATTTCTTGGGTTCGTATCTTGCTCTGATCATGTGTACTTGCCGACGGCATTTCATACGGTGCATGCATCTTACTCTGCCTTTAACTGGCTGTTAATAATATTAACCAGAAAATGACATTCGAAATTAGTTTCTCAGTGCTAAGCCAGGCTAATCCATAAACTTAACTAACTTCTAACAAAATGATAAATCAACCGCTTTGTTAGCTAGCAAATTTTGCATTTTTGATCGATCACTAGCATTGATTCATCAGCATAAAATATATATCATTCAGATTGTCATAAAGTATATATCTTTGATTTGCCATTCAAAAAGTCAACAGCAAGACATACATTCTAACAGAAACTACTTTTAGAGCCTATTTTAGCCTTCGAAAAATGTTTAAAATTATTGTGATTCTATTAATAGGAAGCCTGGGAAGTGGCCTTGGTAGCCACGAACTTGTACCTCGGAAAGTTGAAGAGCCAGCCCGGGCTCTTTACTCCATTAAGGGAGTCATCCTGAAACCCGACAGCTCACTAAACCTGAAGAAGAGCTGGATGAGCGACATAACCCTTTCGATCAACAACGGAGAGTTCAAAGGATTCGTGAGATTAGATAGGAGATTCCTGATTTTAGGAGTGCCGAACGGAAGCCACATCCTGGAGGTAGAGCACCCGGACATATACTTTCAGCCAGTGAAGGTGGAAATCACTGCCAAGGGCAAGTACAGGGCCCGCAAGGTGAACTACATCCAGCCATCGACCATCAACCAAGTGGCCTACCCACTGCGGCTGCTGCCCCACTACCGTAAAGGGTTCTTCAGGACGCGGCAGGAATGGCAAATCATCGATATCGTCCTCAGTCCAATTGTCTTGATCATGCTGGTGCCACTTGTACTGATGCTGGTGGTTCCCAAGCTGATCAAAGATCCGGAGGCCAAGAAGGAACTGGACAACATTCAGTTTCCCAAGATGAACGACATGCCGGACCTCAGCGACATGCTGTCCACTTTCCTTTCGGGCAAGAAGCCAGAGCGCTCCCAGTCCGGCAGGAAGAAACTCCTCGAGAAGTCCCACAAGAAATACAAGTAAAGTTAGTCCCCCAGTTCAGTTACCCTTTGGCAGAGTATCCCCGGCCAATTAAAGAAACTTGATAATTCCATAAAAACTTTTTTTTTATTTGATCACAATGTTTTCTTTTCCAATTTCATAACTCTTTGCCTAGGCATGTGGCAGCCCTAACAAGGGCTCGTGTGTCCGGGTCTATGGTCTCGTCCAGCCTCCAATCCACCCGATCAGCCGGCAAGCCACAGTCTTTCAAGGAATCCGAGGTGGCGCATTTCTGTTTTGCATCCTGAAAGTGGAAAGAAGCAAGGATTTGGTTTAGTTTTGATGTAAAATTAATGATTTTAGGCAGGATTTTTAAGGAGTTTTACAGATTTTTAAATATTTTTTAACAAACTTGATAGTTACCTTGAAAAAGTAGGCCTTGCTGCTTGCCGAGGGGCCGGAGGAAGTGGAGGACTGGAGGAAGGCGGCAGGAATCGTGCTGGGCCAAAAAAACAACATGCCCAACTGCCGGGCGTCGGCGAGTCTCAGATCACTCGGTTCCCATCTGTACAGTCGTCCAAAGCCTCAATATCTTCTGTCCGTATCCGTATCTTTTTCCGGTTAATACAAAGTGTCGTCATGCCCGCCATCATTACACGGACAGCTGCATCCGATGGCTTCTTCCGTGGCACTTTGACTTGAATCTCGGTTCGCGAGGCCAGACCCACCCTGAACTTAGAACCCCGGTTATCGCAGAATAGGATTTCGGGTTCGCGGCTCGGGGTTCGGGGGGCGGAGGCGGAGGCGAGGCACTGGCAAACCAAAAAATGTTGAAAATGCGTTTTGTTCGAAACAACGAAAACAAGGCAAACGATTCGGTTTCGCTTTTCGTCTCGGCACGCGGACTTAGGCGGTCTTCTCCTTCTTCACGCAGAATTGCCGCAGAGCCGCCAGCGAGTTGCCGCCGGAGCTGAGGTTCTCCGGGGACTCTGATCCACCGGCGGCAGCGGCGGCTGCCAGCTTGGCTCTGGTATTGGCAGCCCCAGCTCCGCTGCTGCCCAGGGAATCGAACATGGAGGACAGGGCGTTGAGCGAGTCACTGGGATACTTCTTGTTGCCCTCGGAACTCCCGTCGTAGGACTTGTGGCTAGAGGCGGGTGACTTTGGTGTGACTGATCTCTGACTCTCGGCAGGACTTCTGGGAGGCAGCAGCCTGGTCTGAGGACTGGCTGCCGATGAGGGTGTCTTGGGGGAACTCCTTTCCACATTGTTATTGTTATTGTTATTGTTCGTGGCACTGCCATTCACCAAGGCCGTCTCCATTTTGGAGGACTCCTCGGCTTCGTTGTGCTCATCCGCAAGCTCAGACTTGATCTCCATTTTAATGGGCTCCGACTCCACATCCCGCTCCTGCTTGATGGCTGGTTTGGAGGGTTCCTCCTCATGTCCTCCCCCTGTTTGCTGCTGCTTCTCCGGAGTCGGGGCATCCAGCCTCGGTTTGGCCTCCGCACTGCACTCGCTGCCACTCCTCTCGCTGCTGGTGTATCTATAGTGCTGGTAGTACGGGTCATTGGTATCGATCAGGGGCTTGTTGTAGTCGACGGTTTCGTCGATTCCCAGGCGTTTCAGTATGCTGGAGGCCACTGGCGAGGTGTTTTTGGTGGATGAGTTGGAGGGACTACTAGCTGGCAAGCTGGCGTGTCTTGGAGGAGTATCGAAGCTGGTGGTGAACATCTGCTCGATGGCACTGAGCACGGAGGAGGCTCCCGGGGCCTTGGCACTCCCATTCTTCTGCTCCACCAACTCTGGCGACTTGTTCTTGGCCAGGAGTTGAGCAGCAGCCACTTTGGCCATTTCTTCGGGCGACTTCACCCCGGTAATGTACTGCCGCATGCGCTCGGCAAAGAGAGCGGCATCGTTCTTATCCCCTCCACCTGGGCCCAGACCGGGTTTTCCCTGCACCGCGGACTTCTCGTTGGCCAGATCATCCTGGTTTCCTGCTCCTCCCTTCATCTCCAGAAGCTTCCTTACTGGCAGCGATTTCTCGCGCTTCTTGGGAGCTGGCCGCTTGCGAGCTCCTGCGGACTGAAGGAGCGGCTCCGCGTAGTGGTTGTTCTTGGCCATGTGGTTGCTCAGATCCCCCAAGGAACTGAAGGCCTTGTCGCACACCTTGCAGGTGAGGACAGCACTGAGGGTGCGACTTTCCTCGGAGCTCAGACTGTTATGACTCTCCTTGGCATCTGCGTTGGCATTGGCATTCGCTGATTTAATGGAGATGCTCTGCTCCTGGGACAGGATGTTCGTGTAGTGCTGGGTCTCCTGCATGTGCTTGGTCATCTCGCCCAGGGATCGGAAACTCTCTCCGCAGCGCATGCACTTAAGGATCTGCATGGCCTGTTCCACACCCTTGCCCAGCCAGACATTCTGGCCTCGAACCAGCTTCCTGGGCAGCGGCGTGGGTGGATCTCCGCGATACTGAAAGGCATTCTTGACATTGGCCGAAGGAGAGTGGTTGGAGCCACTGCCTGAGCCGTGTTTACGGAGGTTGTGGTTCTGCGGCGGTGGCGGAGGAGCTGGATGGTGGTGCTGGGGCTGGGGGTTATTGCTGGGCAGGTTGCCAAAGGGTGGTACATTCACCCCGCAGTGCTTGCTGTCTTTCATATGGGTGGTGAGGGCCTCCAGAGTGGGGAAACTCTGCTTGCACCACACACACCTGAACACCGAGCTGGCCACTCCCTTGTTCTGCCAGTGTGACTGCCAGATATTGTGCCTGGCCTTGGTCACCCCACCACCACTCGCTCCACTGCCTCCCGATCCTCCTCCGGACTCGGAACTCTGGTTGGGTGGCGGTTGAACCGGACTCTTCGGCGGCTGGGCTGCCGCCTGCGGTGGCGTGGCCTTGGACGAGTGCATTTTCTCCTTGCCGCCCATTCCACTCGCTCCTCCCTTCACAATATCGGACATTTTCTCGAGGGGATCGACCACCAAGTCGCTCTTGCCATTCCAGTCGGGGAACTGGCCCGCTCGAAAGATATTGGCAGCTGCCACGGCCGCGAGATATGGATTGACTCCTGGCAATAGTTGGCTGGCTGAGGGCGAGGCCACGGGATTCGCGGGCGGGCTTTCCGACTTGAACATCTTCTTGACCTGGATGTGGCCCAGTTGAGGCTCCGATTCGTGGCCACGCTTCCGGGTGCCCACGGAGAGATCGAGGGGGTTGTTGGCACCGTCATCGAAGTCCTCCTCCTCGCCCTCGGAGGCAGGTGGCTCCGCCGATTCCGCCCGCCCGTACAGATTGGTGCGGAAATCCAGAGCCTCTGAGTTATTACTGGACGCCGTGGGCGAAGCCTGGGGGGGAAGTTTGAACGGAGCCGCCGCCTCATTTGCCAGTGGGAGTGGCAGGCGTGGCCCCGCCCCCGCTGCTGCTGCAGCGGCCAAGGGGAACCCATACTGTTGGGCTGCCGCCGCCACCATGTGCAGGTACGCCTCCATCGAGGGCGGCTGGGCGGGCAGGGACTGTGGCACCGCCGGGAATGTCGAGTGCAGGGTGGTGGGCACCACGCCGGGCATCACCCCGGCGGACAAGGTGGCGGCATCCATCCGATGACCCACTCCGCCGCTGCCAGCTCCACCACCTCCATTGTCCGAGGAGTTGGAGTCGTGCGAGGGGCAGCCCTCGCTGGAATTCGCCGACTCCGTGGAACGCGGACGAGCTGTGGGCAGTGCTCTGTAAGAATAGAAAGGGAAAAATTATTTATTAGTTTTCCATTTTAATTTAATTCACTAGCAGTTAAAATAATAAATTATTTGGTAATTAATCAAACTGTTCAATTTATTTAGAAAGGTAATAATGTCCTGACTTATATATTTGATTTCTGAATCCAACCAAAGCTAATAAGGAAGAATTGGCTGTTAGAGTAAAAATTTTAGATTTTACGGGCTATAAAAACATCTCAGACGAAGTCTATATAAATAAAAGTTAAACTGGTATTGATAACCTAGACATTTTCCCTTGGTTAACCTTATTTTTAGTAGCTAATCAATAAATTATAATGAATTTAGATCTCTAACTAAGGCTTTTAACATTTACACCATATCGATTCGCATTCTCAGCCACTGACAGACCCTAAATTCGAACATGAAGGTCCAATCAGGAATATATCAATCTAAACCTTAATAAACCCAAGATCCGACCGATTAAGCTTTCTCTCCCCCTTTGGCCGCCAGACTTTCACAGCCGGGCTAACCTGTAGATAAGTAATCAAGAGCATTGAAAATCTTAATGGCATCTCGACGCGGTCCCTGCTAAATCATTCGCCGGCCAGGCCAGGCAACAATGCCAACAATGGCAAACATATGTCAACATTTCGATTTGTTATTCAAATCTCAGAGCGCCATAAACCAAAAGCGAACTACAGATACAGATACAGATACATTTACGAGAAGTATAAAAAATGAAACTCTGTCGCGGCCAGCTGTGTCGCAGTCCGCTCCCCCGCCCCTCTCGCGAGGGTCGTAAAATCTATATGGAACAATGGCGTTTAATTCGAGACTTTAGGCGTGAGTTATGAGCAAATCCGATCATAATCGGCCTCAGCATCATCATCATCATCGGAGTATCTGAGTATCTGAGCATCTTAGGAGATGAGGAGATGAGATCGGAATATTTGACAAACTCGGCGGCAATTATCGGTTGGCTGGGCAGCCACGAATTCCACATAGTTTGCATAAATTAATTGGACCGCTCATAAATGTGCATAAATAGATAAATAAATAAAACAAATTTTATGGCCCCTCTCAGCGGCAGCGGCAGCAGCAGCGGAGAAGCCCCGAAAAAATAATAAGGAAAATGATTTGGCAGCTGAAAGAAAAAACAAAATCGAATCGGCGAAGTTTATTTCCTTGATTTGTAGTCGAGAGTGTAACGTTCAGATTGAAACCACCATATATAATTTTTATGGCCCGATTGTTTGCGTTCGCTTTGAAAATATTTCACAGAATCATAATTCCGCGGCTTTCGTTTAGCTTGTTTTGAATGATTGTCTGATTGACTTTGAAGTGTATGCAGAATGATATAAATTTCCGATGATTAGCTAGCTGGGGTGTGGGCGTTGTGGCGGGGGAATTTAACGACTAGCCAGGTCGGAAATAGCTGAACTTGGTCAATAACAAACAGTTAATGGGCTCGCTCTGAATGGGAGTCTTGTTTGCCCAAAGAGTCGAGTTGTCAACGATTTGTCATGTGCTATTGTGGGACAAGCGATCGCTCAGCGAAGAACTAACTTCTTAAGCGGCATTAAGTTGTTAGATTTCCGAGGAGGTTTGTCACGGAGTCAGTGCTATCACAAAGACAGCTTTTTATTGATGGATTGTGTACCAATAAAGCCGGCCTAGCGCAATATTGATGGGACCTCAAGGAACGGCTGATTCATGTGCTCAGCTTAGGGGGAAACTCAGTCACCTGCCAGGTGACAGCGTATCAAAGATAGTTATTACACACTCAGTGCGATCGCTCACCGCTAATTAGCCATCCAGATTGCACGGGCCGATTAAGCCCGCATACAAAGCGGCCCGTGTTCCCCAACCCCTCTTCGTTACTTCGTTTTTTCTGCTTTGTCTAGTACGGAAAGGCTGGCAACAAGTTTTCCCCGCAACAACAGCAAATCATAATCTGAAATCTCGTTATTCGATTAAGCTTAAATCAAAATGATTTATACGCAACTCCTGCAAGTGCAGTTAATTACAAGTTGAAATGTCTCATTAATAATCGAGAGAGTTACGGGTTGATATGCATCTGTATAAAGTGCAGGCTAGTGGGAACAGTGGGTGGGAGTAAGTAGCTTCTGATAAGGATATCCCTTTACAGATAGGCCATTGAAAGATGGAATCTTACTAACTTGTATCTCATTATAGGGCGTTACCACCTGGCTTATCTTCTCCTCACAAACTTAATGCTTAATCTTAAATTTACAAAATAAAGTTAACTAGAAAGCCGTCCTGATGTTACCCACTGTACCCCGTAAACAAAAACTAAGGCATGACTAATCCGTTAAGGTAACAGAGTAAATATTACCAAACACACACACACACACTACACACACACACTACACAAACACACGCACAAATCAGCGGCAAATTGGGAACATAAATCTTTCCCGTAATAGGCACATACACATACACACGTGTGTATATGAGAGAAATTAGGGAGAAAGGCGGCGGAGGGAGGGGCTGAGCAAGCAGAGCGTAGCGCCTTGGAAAATCTTGAAAATTCTCATGTATTTGCATGCCGAATAAACCGAAAGCGAGACAATTTGTCGCACTTTATTAGTAATACCCCAGATTGCACCCCCGCCCCGCGCGCCCCTTGCGAGAAATGTTGTTGCCAGAAACCAGTTTACAGCCTGCCACTAATTTGCTCAGATTCTGGGCGAGTGCGAGCGCAAAAATGTATCTGAAACTTGTTTAATCATAATTTCATAGGCACTCAGATTCAGATACTCGTGCAGCGCAACGCTCACACAAATTAATAGCCCAAAGATAGATCATCGAATTTATGCCCACTTTTCCGTTTGATTTTCTTGGGTATTTTGGCTGTTTTGGCTATTACCCCTTACAAATCAAGTTTTTCCTCTGCACTTTACACACTTCGAGGCCTTTGTTCTTTCGGGGGCTCTGGTTTTTCCGATCTGCCTTACTGTAAATCAATATTTTCGGGAATCTAGAACCCAGCACCAGAACTGTTGCTTTCGGAGGGTGGGTGGGTTGTGATATATGGGCCGTGGTATTGGCGTGGGGCTGAATTTATAACGACAGGTGTGCGACGACGTCGGGGACGCCAATGCCAATCATCAAATGCTCTCGGCTCTCAGCTTTCAGCTATGAAATCATAATTTCTTGATATATTTATTTGGCCGCTTTGGCCGAAAGTCTAAAGTAATATTTTAATGGGCCATTCAACGATTTCGGCTATCAGTTCGTCGTCGTGACTCAACGGAAATATTGGGCCGAAAGAGGCGGGAAGGCCTTTCGATTAAGATCTGCGACACTCAGATGTTCTATTTGCGGATGATTAATGTTGGGGAGTGTGATTTTGAAATATATTCTAAATCTGCTTAGATATAAGAACAATCTAAAGATTGAGACGGGAATTATATTATTTCGAATTTTCTGTTACTTTTAAGGTTTTGCTGTCAGTTTGTTTATAGATCTTTTAAAGTTAGGTTAAAAGTCTGTTATTAGAAGCTTGCTAAGTCTGTATCTGTTATTGGAGTTTGTTTATTTGATTGATACCTCAGGCTATTAGAACACGATTAATCAAACTGAAACCCACTCAATCTTTTTATAAGTAAAATGCTTTTTAAATTTCTTAAAAAAGAACGAAGCCCTGCCCCCTAAAGAGTAGTTTTATTCACGACACCTTAAAACAGATCCTAATGGGACATCTAATATATCACTAACTAGTTTTACAGGGAACACTTTCTAGACTAGAACACTTACCCGGCATTTAGGGCCTGTCTGTAGATCTCGAGCATCAGAGCCTCGTGCAACATGTTTAAATTTTGCTGAATCTTTGACGATTTTTGAAAACTGTGTTGGTTTTGAATTTTTGGGGCAAACGGCGAGTTTGCTGGCGTTTCGATTGGGTTTTGGAACTTAACTTTAGTTTGACACAATATTCATAAAATTTGTTTATGTTTGGTTTTTAGATTTTGTTTTGTTTTTTGTTTTTAGTTTTGCACTTGGTACGTTGTCGTATAGAACTTGCGTATAACTTTGTTTAATTTGTGTTTATTTTAGATTTATAAATTTTCGTATGGCAGACAAAAATGACGTTTAAATATTTTTGTCTTTTTTTGTTTTTGTTTCGAGGCGTTTGTAATTTGTATTTGTAATTTGTTGTATTTGTATTTGTATTTTGTGTATGTGTGGGTTTAAATTTAATTTAATAATTGCATTGAATCGTATACTTCGTTAGGTTTGTTGATTTAAGTAACTGCTTTTACATAATGTATGTAAGTGTAATTTTGGTGAGCAAAATACCGTTTAAATATATAAATATTTGTAATAGTTTATCTTTAGGTTTAAGTTAATAAATATATATATTTGTGGTATATATTTGAATTTGTGGTTGTTTTACGTATACTTTGTTGAACCATTTGTAGTTGCTTTACTCGTGTGTGTTCAATTATTATCAGTCTTGATCGAGCATTTTCGTTCGATTCTTTTCTTGTTCCAGTGGTTTTCCTTGATTTTCTCTTATTTAACTTTCCTTTGACTAGATATGATGGCGGCTCCTTGGAAAATACTCGTATCGTATCACACTAAGTATAGTATTTCAATATTCTGGCGGAACACGCGTTTCGCGATGTGCGTGCGTCTGTCTTTCATCCGGATTCCGTCGTTACTCGAATGAACGTTCAAAAGCGAATGAACGTCCAAAGGCGAATGAATTCTGCTGGCCGGGTTCTTTCGTCACTAGCCTCTGCCTCTACCTCGGCTGCTCTGCCGCTCTGTCGCTGCGCTGCCGCTGCTGTCAAACTGACAAACAACAACGATGCGCTGCCGCTCTGCCGCCGCTGATTGATACGGATGAAAGAAAAAAAAAAGACTGAAGCGACGGACGCGGACGGGAAGTGCAGCGATTGGAAGCTGCGCTGCTTTTGACGAGCAAACACGAAGCGCGCGATTTTGGCGACGGCAATTTCTGATTCGATTTTGCGTTTGCGTTCAGGCGACGGCTGCGCAGTTGTGTGTGTGCTGTGTGCGTGTTGTGTGTACCACCCACACACTTGCAGGACAGCTGGCTGTCAGCGTGATTAAATGTGCTGCTATCTCGTTCGCACGCGCCGGCTGCGCTGCTCTCGGCTAATTAATTACCGTACGATTTTTCTGAAAACACCGCGCTTTTCTCGCATGATCGTACGCTGTAACGGTTCGTTGTTGACTGAGAGAAGAACCAAAAGAATCCAATTGCCTCCCACATGGCCGAGAGAGCGAGAGTGAGAGAGAGGGAGCAGGAGAGCGAGCCAGAGCAAGCGAGAGCGCAGATGCAGGGCTCTCTTTTCCCCTGCGCGCGAATTGGAATTGTTTACAAGCGAACGGTTGGAACTGGAACAGGGGAAATCGCTGGGGAAAAAGAGAGAGCGCTGTCGAATCGCCCTGTCTCGCTCGCTCCGTAAATGTGTGAAATCTGTTTTGTCGTTTTTCGTCACCCTTCTTCTTTTGTCCCTATTCCGATTCCGATTCCATCACAATTAAGATTTATGACAGTTCAAAACAAATTCTCTCGCTCGCATGCGCTATCCCGCTCACACACAGTGCTGTCTCTGTCTCTGTTCTGCCTTTTCTCTTTTTCTTGCTAAACAAACAGTAGTTGTTGCTTTTTGAGCTTTTCGTCCTCGTCACTTTGAGTGCTCTGCCCTCTCGCTCTCTCCTCCCCTCACCCGTTGCTGTCAACTTTTGTTCGCTTTTCTGCAGCTTCTTCGTGGATTTCGCTTCACTTGACATGTCAGTCTCGCTGTTTTTTTTTTTTGTTCGCCTCTTTTGTTTCGTTGCATTGCTGCGCGAGCGAGACGGTGAGAGAGTAACAGAGAGGGTGCAAAAAGGGAAAAAAGGGTTGGGGGTGGATTCCCGTGCGCTTTTCACTTGGAAACAACTTTTCCACTCTTCTTTTTGGCTGTGAAAACAATTAAATTAGCGCCACTTTTGCCGTTTTGTTAACTGAAAGTCTGCGAAAATATCACATTTCCATGAGCTTTGGTTCGAATTCTGGTTGAGTTTTTAGTTTAGTTTAATAAATCAAATGGTGTTAATCATGAAAATTGTATTTAAGTTTTACATAGTTCATATCGTCAAACATTTAGGAAATGAGATATGGTTTTAACTGGTACTTACTAATGGTAATTCCCTCTTCACATCGACTTTTAAAGTTTAAACTTTGAAATTATTGTTTTTATATGCTATGGTGAGGCATGTTTTCAGCTTACACTAAATGTGCTTTTGTATCAAAAGTAATTTCTTGATGGCAAAAATGATGTACTTTTAGGTTAAGGTAAGCTGTACGCAGACTTTATTATTCACAATTTTTGAAGTGATAAGTTTAACATAAACTATAAGACACAACAAAAATGGTTATTTTACAAAAAAATAAAGTTTGAAGACAATACCATTAAGACAATGGGTTAAATAAGGAATGACCCTTGCGTTTGATTGAGAAAATAATTTTGGATGTACGCAGGAATGTGCAAATGAGTGTGTGAGAGAGTGTGCCACCAGTTGGTGATTGTAAAAGGTAAACTGGGTAATCGTTACTTTGCAAGTTCTTTATCGTTACCTGAAAGCATTTTAAAAAGTTACGTTTTATATTTTTTATACGCACATGAAAATGCATGCAAAAATCGCGCTTTTGATTGAACAACAAAATATAATATGAAACAAATAAAAGAGTCCAGGACCTAGACACTAAGCAACATAAGAAAATAAAAACTATTATTTTTTATTCTTTTCAAAGGCATTGTGTTCTAAATAGAAACAAAATACAAGATACTCGTTATTTTGTAGTCGCGGTAACTGAATACTTACTTAATAAGTAAGGTGTTCCACATTCGAATTTAATTCCTGATCTACATCCACTGCAGAGTGTGCCGTTTAACAAGAAATAAAACAACAACAGAATGAAAAAAAAACAGGAAGTACTAAATGTAGAAATGGGTGGGAGGGCCGAAGGCAACATCTCTTTGCCAGTTATTTTTGGTGACTTTATACAAGAAGGCGAAGGGATGATACCCATTTATTCTGTTCCCCAATTTTAAATTAAATGTGCTAATATCCGTGGCGCTGTACAATTAAAGAAAATGCATAATGACCCAATGATCACACACCCATTGGATATATATTCTGGCTACTAACTGCTACATACTCAACTTAATGTACAAAAAGATCAAAAATAGTGAAATATCCATTTAGTTTAAACGAGATGCTTACACCAATTATTGTGTTCTGCCAAAAATGTCCAACTTAGGAAAAAATCTACTTCTGTTGTTAATGAAAAGGTTTCTAGTATTGTTTCTTTTTTTTTTTAAAGTATATAAGTTTTAAAAAAACTTTGTTTTGAGCTGATTGGAGAAAGCATGACTTAGAAATAAAAAGTTAAAAATGAAAAAAAAAATACACACCTATTATTTTGTCCATGAGTGTAATTGAATTTTAATGCCGCGAGTAACTTTAGGATCTAGCAGCCGAGTCCTTTTCAGATGTTCAGAGATTACACTTACTATCGATAAAGCTTCCTTATCTCGGCGGCCTTAGCGTGTTCAAGCATCTCTTTGTAGTCTAGCAGTCGCGGCTAAGCATATCCACTACTACTGAGTACGTTGCCTATAAGGCAAATATGGAGTAACTGCAGCGCGTTGTGGTTCGTTTTGGGTTAAGGCGAGAACCAGTATAAGGCTTCTCTGTTTTCTAAAGGATCTATCCGGATAGTCTTTCTACTTCAAGTACTCTAAGTATTGAGGAAATTTTGTATTGTTTTCATTGGCTTGATTATTATTAAATTGAGTTTTATGGCTATTAGTTTGATCTTAAAAAACCTCATCCAGTTCTTATTTCTAAGCAATTATTACGCACACTAATTAGTTTAAGTTTAGTTAGATGAAAATACTAAAAACGGAGGATTAAAGAGTATTTAAAATAAAATATCAAAGTTTATATCCCTCAGAAGGGGTTGCTTATAAAGGAATCATCACTTTTTAAATCAATTTTAATTAAGCCTATGGGAGTGGAGTACCTGGGAGTATTCCATTTCCCATTTGATTGGCATTTCTGCGGTTATGGTCCATTAGGGGATCTGGACGGAAGGCGGGCCATGGTTGACGAATGCCTGGCGGAGCCATAAAAGGTAGCCATACTTGGGTGAAAATGGTGGACAAGTGGTCCTCATCTGCCTCATCTTATGTGCCGCTGGTTTTATTGATCACTGGCTGCCCGGCCAATGGGGAGAGGGGGAATGGGGACTCCTCTGGCTGCACTTGTTGCTCCCAAAAACGGGCTCACTTAAAGGCCGGGTAACGAATCGTAAAAGTTTTTACGATCCACCAATTAACCGATAATAATCAAATCACTTGGAACCACCCCGTAGGGGGAAGAGGGGAGAGGTAATGAGGCGGGAGCAGCCATTGCTTCTGGGGCTCCATCATCATCCTCATCATCTCATCCTCGACAGAATCCTCGCTGTCCCTGGGGCAATAAATACTTTTACGATTCTATAATTTGATTTGGGCATTTTTATTTAATATTTCTTCTTCTTCTCTCAGAGACAGAGACGGCGAGATCACATCGCGATGGCTGTCTCTCTCCCTCTATTTATCTTGCGGCACGCACATTAATTTTTTATGTGTTCGATCGTTAAAATTCGTTTGATAAATTATTATTTGGAATCCGATGCCAAAGGTGTCCGCTGGATACGCAGGCATCCGTGAGCACCATCTCCGAGCGGAATGTTCGAGGCTGAAAGAATCTTCCCGCTGAATATCTTAAAATGCCACAATTCTAGTTTTTGTCTTTGAATTTGTTAGCTTAGATGGTGGAGATGTGCTTTATGTTTATTTTCAGAGAATTAACAATGATTAAATGTGGTTATTTCATAAAATTAAAAGGTTTTTAGAAACATCTTACAGACTAATTAATAATTTCACCAAGTAAAACTTTTTGCAGGAACTTGAAGAGGAAGGGCCCTCTGATAAGTTTATAAATCATAATATTTCATTATACTATACAGTACCAATGACTTTTATGGGGAAAAATACAAGTTAAGAGGCTTTATTTTGACTATTTAAAAAGTGTAAAACGTTTTGGCCTTCCTCAATCCAATCCAAACCCAGCAAGAAAGAATAAAAATGGCAGACAATTAATTTAATGGAAACACAGACAATCGAGAGCTTAAAAACTCATCAAAACTCATCAGCCGAAATTCATAAGGAAAAAATTAAAAATGCAAAATTGAGAACAAAATTATCAAAGACTTCGCTGACCGGCATTCGTCATTGTCCGAGTGTCAACGCTTCCGTTTTGGCCAAGAGCGAAGAGCTGGCAACAAAGCACCAGATCGGACGAATATATAGTACATACAAGAGATAATGTGCGCCCACGGATTCGGCCATGAATTATTTGGCTGCTGGGTTGTCAAATGGAACGATTCTGGTCAAGATTTTGATGGCGGCACTGCCTGGGATTTATTTTTAATGGAGGATTTCATGGGGCCGAGGGATTAACTCTTTCAACCGATGTCATCCAATTTTGAATTATTGGGAGGCGTAAATCTCGGCCAACAACAGTCAGCTAAAGCTGAAATATTACTTTGATGAGCTGCGGAATACTCGGTCTATATATATATTATAATGATCCATAAAGCGATCCACGTGTGGGCTGGCCGAAAGCATTTTTGGGCGCCCGATAAACTAAAATCCCGATTCGATTGCCAAACTCGTCTGCGAAATGCGTTGTGATCAATATTTATTCATTCGATAAATCAATCAAATAAATTACAATTAACGAAAAGTCATAAAAATGAATGGCACAAAGCAGGCGGCGATAAATTCGGTATGAATATGAGAAATCAAAAGCGTCAGCAGCGAGAAGACAATCGAAAGAGAAACACATAAAAGCTTAAGAAGTTGTTAATTATAAATGTGAAATTTATAGCGCCACTCTCGGCTAGAAAAATTCCTCAAATTGATCAAATTGGAGGGGGCTCTCTCTGTCTCGATGACAACCCGAAATCGAAATCAAAATCGAAATCTGGTTTCGTTTTGGGCCCAGGTTCGTCTTGATCAAAGTGTATTTTTAATGGCCAAAAGCCGAACAATTCGGATCGTAAAACATTTATTCAAATTATGACGAAGGCGATCGCAAAGATTTCGCTTTTCGACCGGT